GGGCAAGTACATAAAAGACAAATTAAACATGAAGCGTGTAATTTCTCAATTCAAAATCAGTTGTGTGCCTGTTCACACATAAACGTAAATGCGCGCTTTTTGGCGTTTATTCAGAGTGAATTACGTGCAGGTGATGTGTGACCCCGACACAATGCCAAAATGCTAACGACTATCTGATGAGCTGTTGATTATCATCGTTGTCGTCCCGACATGCACGTATTCATCAAATCTAAACATGTATAAAATGAACATTATCCAATGGCTGCTCTCGTCATGCAATTGCGTTCGATCAATTGAATATTTGTTTTTCACATGCGTGAACTTTTCAACTACCTAACATATGATTTCTTATTTTATTCCAACTGACACGAAAATATCAACACAAATTATATCATCAAATATCTATATAAAAAAAGAATTTCATGTTCCAGTACTACTTTGAAGATAATATTGAAATGATTTGTATCGAGGAACGTCGTCTTCATGCGCAAAATACATTTTAGACAGAAAGTAAAACACATAATTTCCATGAAATAGTGAAAAAAATTATCGCCATGCGATAGTAATGATTCCGAATTGGTGTGGCATGAGCGATTGGTCATTTGTGAGAAATGAGCGTTCGAATGTGACGAGAAAAATGAATGTAGACCGAAAAATCAAATTAAACGTGCACAATGAACGTGTAAAATTTATTTGATTTTGTGCACAATGAAGTGCGCTGGGAATTTTTTTTTGTGTCAGATTCAACCACAGCGAAATAGATTTTTATCGCTTAATTGAAGCATTTAGCCGATTAGATTGGCTGGTGATGGTTGAGAGGAGACGATTACAGAATTATAAAAGATGATGACGTTATCGAAGATTTTCGAAAACGAGCGCTTCAAATTGATAACAACTTGATAATCAACACTTGTAATACCATATTAACTGCATGAATGTTCATTTTCATTCAGCGCCAACATCAACAGTTTTATGTTATAATTTCGCATAAATTTCGATTCCAATTTTAGGAAACACATCAATTATATACCGTTCAAATCATGACACATTTTTCTTTCTGCCGGCATAAAAACTTGAAATTTTCCGCTATTCGACTTTGAAACTATTGCAATCGAGAGAAACATTGGATGAGTTAATTTTTTGCTCTCTTCTCTATTTGATTGCGTGCGCGCCGAAGAAGAAGTACCCTCGTATGGCCAATGATAATATGATGTTGTATGGATAAAATAGAGAAATGAATTTGTTGTTGCTGTTGTTTATGTGCAATGTGTATATTTTTCTTTCGGAAATTATTTCTTTTACTTTCTCTTTTTGTACCGAGAGCAAAAGAGACTATTTTATTATTATCATGCGAATTCTTATGTGTTAATGACCAACTCAAATGACAATCGCGCGATTTCTCAAAACCGAGGTAAATGCAACGCTGTTGATTTATGTCCAAAATATAAGATCAAGACATTCGTCGAATTCTACTTCAATATGGGCGATTAATCAAATTTTCGATTCGGATTTATAATGGAACATACATTTGATTTCTCTCAGGGTTTTTAATATCGATAACAATTCCCCATATACGCTGGATACCATAAGCACTCTTTTGATAAAACAATCGAACAATTGAATTACTCATTATTGTCCATTTATTAACTGATGTAATCGATTGTGCCCATGTTTCATGAATTGATATTGCATAATTAGCGTTATAGAATTTATATATGTATATAATATATATCCGTAATACTGAATTGAAAACCAAAAAACCGGTTCAATAAAATCGAAACAAATACATAAAACGAAATGGTTGTGGCTTTTCTTCAATTTGATCGATTGGATTTGACTACCATTTTTAATTAATGAATCAGCTGGCCAAACATTCAAATCAAGCTGACCAATTCGAATGGAATTTTAAGAAATTGATTGAAACTAATCAATTTTTGGTTTTGATGTTTCATTTTCAATGGAAGAAATTGGCGTATAGGAATTAATCAATTCAACAAATGAAATCGAGAAGAAATGACGAATTGCTTAAATGAAAGAGTTATTCATTTTTTTATAGAAGCGAAAATTTTCAAAGGAACACACTTCTTAAATACATTTCATTTTACTAACAATAACTAAAAAAACTGCTTTTGACAAACATAACGTATTTTATTTTGAATCACAGATGTCATCAAATCTTCTTGCATGCCCAAATGAAAATCCTCGAAAAATAATTCAAATTTGAATATTTTCAACAGCTTTGTACACTACTTGCATCATGCAATTGTTTTTAGTTTCATCTAATAATGACCTAGGTAAGAAAAAAAAACGAAAGAAAGTCCGGTAGTATACTGAAGGCGGCACTGCAGGTATATGCCGGCATTTAAATTAATGGATACAATGAAGTTTTATTGAGAGCAAAATCGAAAATGTGAAGCAAAGCGAAATTGATTGGTTGAAATTATCGATCACAAAAGCATGAATCGCATTCTCTCTCTCTTTCTTTATTTAATTTCTGGTGCATGTATGTAAGCCGGCTTATATGTAATTTGTATGTGTGTTGCGTGTTTGCACAGTATGTTTGTAGTTTGATTTTGTGTTTTAATTTGGGATATAATTAATTTTCGGTTAAAAGAAATGAAGTGAAAATTAATGTTTGCGGCTTTTCTGACTTTATTATTCGCGTTCGCTTTGGTCTCGTATTGTGTGTTTGGTCTCCGATAAATCATCACTCCAAATGTGTTGGCAGTGGTTTGAACAGTCCAGCCTTATTCTCATTATTGCAATGGGTTCACTATGTTTTTTGTTTCTTTTTTTTCATATCGATTTGTTATGGTTAATTTTCCTGTGTGCAACAAGTGATGAGCAAAAACGAACAATCAAAACGCATACGTGCGAAAAGTTGCATGCTTTTTTCCCATTCACATGAATCGACCGATGTAACAACGATTGAAGAATCATTTTTTGTTTCGATCGCCATATATCAAGCACATTTTTGACTAATGAAAACCACAAGAAATTAAATTAAAGAAAAAAAAATCAATTTTCAAATATGCGCCAAGTCATTGGATGTCATAATGTTGCTATTTTTAATATGCTTGGTATCGTCACGTAATAATAATAAACATTCGACAAACGTGCGCGTATGAAGAGAGTGAATCACTCGTTCATTTAATAAAAATATTTTGTTGACACTTATGGCCATTTTTAATAAGCGACAATGTAGCACTTTAAATTCATATACATAGAGAATCTTGTGTCATTCAACTCTGAATTGCAAACAAGTTCAGCTAAATAAATAAATACCTCTTACACACACTTGACGATGGAGAATAAATGAGCAAAAAACATGCTTAATCACGTTGAAAATCTCTCGAACGTAGAAAATGAAAATAAATCGGATACACAGCACTCATTGGCACTTAATGGAGGGAAATCTATGCTAGTTAATTAGCTTCGATTCAATTTGATTGAGTGTTCAAATGGTAATGCTCAGTTCAATGGATACACTAATATTCACCAATCAATTAATTTGGAAATATGAAAGTGATTTTTTTTCGGTGTTGTTGTTGTATCGATTGAAACCTTCTCTCAAGCACGAACTTAACAAAAACTGGCCCAAACTTTCAGTGGGCGATTGATGCTTCTCGTACTGCGATTGCGACGTATTTTGAGTTGAGAAAACCACATCCGAGTTCAAATTGAGATAAAAAAACACGAAAAACTAAAGAAAAAATGCATAATGATGAATTTGAAATGAAAATAAAAAATCGCGATGACTTTTATGCAAAAACTCAAATAATAGAAGAAAATTGTTAAATTTTTTCTGGTGACTACAATAAGATGATTATTAAATGATGTGCAACAATGATAAAAAAAATATAGACGCTGATTGCGCCGCCAAATTGTGTGTACAAGTGATAGTAATGGTCAGGCGACCATTGTACAGCGTACATTGTTTACATTTTTAAAAACCCATTCAGTGTAAGATGTGTTTTTACACAATTTTTTTTTCTTCTTTCTTTCTTTATGTTGAATCCAAATCTCTTTTGTTCCGCTGGAATTTATTGTGTGCCAGTTTACAGTGTAATTTTTTTTATGTAAAAAAATGAAGAATTGGTTAGTTGTTTTTGTCATTGTCGATGATTTTGTTCAATTCTGTCTTTTTTTCTTTCTCTTTAATAAGCCCAAAATGTTTTCTATTCATTTTATTTAATTATTATGTTAGTTTTTATTTCATGTGCAATATTTTTGTGCGCTTATGCTTGGAAGTATGTTTGACCAATTCAGAAGGCAATTCATGAGTGGCAAATTTTTTTCCATGTTGTCAACTTTAAATTGCCTCTTGTTAATAAACACCGTTTGAATTTCTTTTTCATTATTTTTTTCAATTTCCATGAGAAAAAGATGCCCCGATGAAAAAAAAGAAGTCACATTTGCTACATTACGCTAGATGTAGTAGTAATGCACACACACACACACACACACACACACACACACACACACACACACAC